CAGTATAGTGTCTGTTCATCACAAATATTGATACCCAGCTAGGTGTTATCAATTAATGAATAATCAAAACAGTCACCTTAATCTCGAAGAAACCACAATACTGTTGTTCCTTTTCTGTTGGAATCATATAATATATTCGACTTTTCCAGAAAACTATTTTTCAGATTTTGTTATCTCCAAGCCCATCAAAATTTTAAGATCGTATTCTGAATAATTAATAATGTAAAAATGAGTCCAGATACAAGATTAGAAACAAATGGGATGAACCATAAATTTGCCAAAACAAATTCTGAATAAAGCCGGAACTTGGAATCCAAAAACTAAGTAAATAAATAAATAAAATAAAATGGGCGGATTTTTTCCTATTAAGAGAAGAAAGGAGCTCAGAACATCAAAAAATGTGCCTGTTTCTCTACAAATACTGAGAAATTATAGGTCAAAATATTATCTATAACAACATTATTTCGTTACCATAATTTATGAGATAAAATACAGGACTTGTTCGATAGTGATTTTGACCCATTGTCAATAACAATATTATTTGTTATCATAATTTGCTAAAATCTTATTATTTTCGGACATTTATAATTCTTCAAGAACCATATTTTCAATATTTAATTAATCAATTTTCTTTAACGTTACTTCTTCTGAAATTTTTGGTTAGTTTTTCTTTTGTACTTTTCTTTTTTGAGGAGGCGCAAAGTTTTCTAATGTTACTTCTTTCAAAAATTTTAGTTGGTTTTCTCCTGTACTTTTCTTTTTCGAGGTGCAGAGTCTCTTGAGCCAATTGGTTGATCACCTTCTAGAATTTTGAGATTCATTTGTTAAAGTAGATTGTCTTTCGGGGACATCAATTTTTGCTGAAATATTTTCTGTTGGAATGTATGACTTTATCACTTTTCTTGTGTTAATAAATATATCAGATAATTGATTTACAACTCTTTGCAAATTAATGATTTTTTTAACCTCTTGCTCAAATTAATTGTTGCTGGAACCAAAATGAGATAGAGGTGTTTCATTCTAAGACATTTTACCTGTTTTTCAGGATGTAGCTTTTTCCTTCTCAAAGTTGGGAAAGTAGTTTCATCAAAATGACAATCAGCAAAATGTGCAGTAAAATAAATCACATATTAAAGGTTCAAGATACTTAATAATAGATGATGAATCAAAATCCACATAAATCACAAATCTTCGTTGGGGACTCATTTTAGTACATTTTGGGGAAGAAATGGGGATTTGGACAGTACAACCAAAAACCCATAGATGAAAAATATCAAATTCATTACCAAATGTCAGTTGCAAAGATAAATGTTGATAATAGACAGTTGATCTAATACGAATCGATGATGCTGCATATAATATGGCATAATCACAAACAAAAGCTGAAAATTTTATTTTTATAAGTAATGGTCTAGCAATAAGTTGTAGACGTTTAATAACGACTCCGCTAAACCATTTTGTGTGTTGACATATGCAACTGAATGTTTAATAACAATCTTAATTGACATACAATAATCATCGGATGCTTATAATCTAAATTTATTAGCATTGTTAAGACGAATAGTCCTGATTGAGTAATTGGAAAATTGCGCTCGTAATTTTATGATTTGTGCAACTAGTCTAGCAAAAACTACGTTCCTAGTGGCAAGAAAGACAAACATGTGACCATCTAATAAAAAAAATGAATTAATATCATAAAATAACGAGATAGTCCACATGACGGATGTATTGGCTCACATATATCTCAATGGATTTTTTCCAAAAAAGTTGAAAATTCAATATTGACATTTATAGTCTAATGACTAACTTGCCTTGCGAACAAATTACACATAGATAATCATTAGGTAAAATAATCTTTTAATTCTTTAAAGGATGTCCATGTGAATTATTTATTATTCAACGCATCATTATAGCTTTTGGATGTTCAAGTCGATCATGTCAAAATATAAAACTTTTTAGGTCAACAAACTTTTGATTCTTGATATTATTTTATTCAACCAATTTTACAAATGTATAATACATGTTAGATGAAAGTGCTTGAGTTTTTCTTTTATCTACTTTTAACCAGATATAAAAAAAAAAAAAGTTATGCAAAAATATTCAATATTATTTTCTTATATCGTCTCAATATAATATCCATTTCAGCGAATATCTTTAAAACTGAACAATTATTTTTTTTAGATCTGCTAGAATAAAGTATATTGTCAATATATAATTTTGTATTATTTAGTAAAATAAGACAAGCTTTTTCGGAACTTTCAACGATATTCGATGCACCTGATATCGTATTAATATATTTTTTTTAATGTTAAGTCTAAAAAATATTTTTTGTCTTGAAAAATAGTATGTGTAGTTGCACTATCAATCAAACAAGTGTCTTGACACAAAAACTTGAATTTAAATTTAAAATGGTACACATAATTCAATACTGTAAAATTAATGATACATAATAAAGTTCAATTTTATCATTATTATTATTTTATTTTATATTTGTTAAAAGTGAAAAGATATTTCAAACTAAATTTCTAAAATAAAGGAAAATACTAGAGACATAGAAATAAGCTAATCTATATCTTTCATCACACCACCCCCATTCAAATTATCAATATTTCCATTTAGATTGGCAAAAAATAGAGACATCCAAATGAGCCACATCAATCAGACCATCATAATCAACAAAATTTGTCTCAACTTTTTCCTTTATTGATTTTTTGTAGAGATCTATAAAATGTTTTGTCGTACGACAAGTACGTGTCCAATATCATTTTATTTCACAACTAATGCAACTTTTTTCATGCACCTTTTTGGATGTGTTACTTTTGTTTGCTTTGTGTCCTTTGAAATTGCTACCTTATTGTTGATAACGTTGTTGATTATTTCGTCCGTGGTTTATTCCACGTGTATGTCCGAATCCACGACCTTGTCTTGATATTACATGTACTTCACACAATGCAGTACCATTTGTTTCAGGAATGGTACAAAACTAGTTGGACGTAACCCATAATTTTTCATCTGCGATTCATTATTCTGTTAAGTAACAACTAGGTAAGATATAAGTTCAGAGTACTTTTTGAAACCACGCTCACAATATTGTTGCTATAAAAGTACATTCGAAACGTGAAAGTGAAAAAAGTTTTCTACAACATATTTTCATTAGTGATTTTTTCTCCACATAAGGTCAATTTTGAACATATTCTGAACAGTTCAAAATTGTACTCACTAACAGTTTTAAAGTCTTGCAAACGAAAGTGCATCTACTCATAGCGGGTTTCAGAAAGGACTATAGTTCTCTAATGATCAAATCTTTCAGTTAATTTTTTCTAAAGAACCTGTGGATCTTTCTCAGTGAGATATTCAATTTTCAATCTATCGTGAAAATGATGAAGGAAGATAAGTGTTTTTGCACGATCATGAAGGAATTCTTTGTTTCCTTCTTTTTTGGTCTCTCCTAAACCTTTTGAAACAAGATTAATATTAGCATCAAGTACCCACGATAGATAATTTTTGCTAAATATGTCAAGTGCAGTAAACTCAAGTTTTGAAATGTTTGTCATTTGATTAACTAGACAATAAAGCAAAAAAAAATATACAATTAGTTTCGAAAATATGATTAAACGTCACAGAATAGTCAATCAAGCAATCAATATTAATATGATATTAGTTACGTATTTTCCTTTAGGGATAAACATTAATCTAAAATAGTATGTTTTTCGAAACATATGCTACTCCGAAAACAGATTGGATTTTACTATTGCTTCTTCAAGAGCAATATGTCAATATTCTTTTTAAAAAAATATAATCCATACTCTTTAGGAACAAGTAATATTCTTCAAGAATATTATATTGTGCTATTTCATGAGCAACATAAATTATTTATAATAAATAGATCTATGATTAATATTCCTTTAGAATATTAATTATAATGTCATGTTACTTTGGAAGCAACAATGTGCTACTTTAGGAGTAACAATATGATAAATTATTAGTTTAAAATCTATAAAAGAGCATAAAAAATATTTAATAAAGTTAAGGACGCAAAGAGTATTTAATAATCTTCATAAATGTGTATTTTGCAGCTCAAAAAAAAATGTATAAAGCAAATAATACGTGAATTAAAGCATGAATTAATGTGTATACATGCAAACATTAGTTAAAGGTCAAAAAGCAAAAGTTGGGCAAAGATAAAAAAAAAAAAAATAAATAAATAAATAATGTTGGTTCACATGTATATATATATTTAAAAAGAATTGAGTTAGCAGACAAGAAGCTGGGTACACACAAATTTGTTGAAAATTCCAAAAAAATAAATAATAATAATAATAATAATAATAATAATAATAATAATAATAATAATAATAATAATAAATAATCACGTGTATGACTGTGACGGAGACTTTGAACATGCTAAAGCAATGATTGTGACACAAATTTAGAGGTGCAAATTGATTGCGGCACAAATTGGACTTGTAAATAATTGAATTTGTGAATAAAATGTACAAATTGAATTGTCATGAATCAAGAGGCAAAATTAGTATAACGTGTATATAAAAAAAAAAAAAAAAATTATATGTCACCAAATTGATTTTGGACCACGTAATAGATAATTATGCTAAATAAATTATTACCTTCACTAAACTTTGAAAAATTAAACTATCGTGCTGATAATATATTATAAATTAGAAAAAAAGATAATAGTGAATAAAAGTCAACAGACTTGTGTGTGTATTAAAGAACCAAAATCATATATTTATAGGTAAGAATTAAAGATATAATGGTAATAACTTCTAGAAGCATAGGGGTACAATTGTCATTCATTAATAAACCATAATAAACTCACCATTTACAATAATATACTCGTATTTCCAATAATTAGGAATATCTAAAAGAAAAATGATAAAATTGCTAAATTAACACGCAAATTTTAAAACTTATATTTATAGTTCATTATATATTCCATGGCGTGCATAAAATCTTCTTTCAAAGTTTGCAATAAGTCTTTTTCTCATTGGAAGTCCTAAAAAGCACACTATAATTTGTTTTCTTTTATTTCAAGTTCTGCAATTATATCATTTTTAATTGAAGTTTCAATAATTCAACTTGGATTCTCTTCTTTGTTCTTTCCAGTATTTTTTTGTTAAAAGAAATGTCTAACAATTATGACAACTGGGAAAGGCTTGTGGTAGCTGTGCTTCGGAGAGAAAAGGATCGGCAATTGGCTTTGGCTCCCTCGAGGGAATCAAGCATAAGCTCCGTGTCCTCTAGTTTCAACTTTGGACTGGATTTTCCAGTTCATGAGCAGAGTCTCCAATTTGAAGCTTCCTCCAGTAAAGTGAATGAAACGGATCGGGAGAGATTGTTTCCATCTGCAACGAGCAGCAGTCCAGGACTTAGCCAGTTTTTTGCTGCAGCAAGCGATGATACGTGTGTTTCTGGAGAGAGATTGCCAATACCAAATTTGGAGATTTATCGCTTTACTGAATTGAAAAGGGCCACGAAGAACTTCAAGTCTGAAATGATGCTGTGGTCGGGGCGTGTTGGAACTTTATTTATGGGTTGGATGGACTCTGATACACTTGCACCGTCTACAGATGGTACCAGAATGACGGTTGCCATTATTAAATTGAACCCTAATATCATACCAAATTTTGGAGAATGGGAGGTAATATTATTGAAATATTTTTGCTTGAATTGTGAGTAATTTAATGGCTTGATTTTAATCGTTTTTCCCATGTTGGGTCTCTGTAGATGACTGGGGTACATGTTGGAAATTGGTTTAAAATTGAGAAAATTGGTTAAGTATAAATGTGGAAAAGTAATATTTGTGTCTTCGGCCAAATATTCGGACTTTATCTGATGCTCAATTACAAAAGTAAATAAACAAACTTGTTCTACTCATCGAATAGATCGTCTTGGTATATTTAGAATCTCAAGACCAATTCTGAATGAATGAGAAATTGTAATCCAAATTTAAAGGAGAAAATATTGGAAACTTGCTTGATTTCGAGCGACGGGCTAGCTATAGGCCGGCGAAAATTTTCCATAAATATTTTGGCACTCTCGCTCGAGCGAGAGGCCAGCGATAGGCTAGCTACAACAAAGTGTTACTTCTATTAATAAGGTTGCGAGATTTGGCTCACAATACTTCTCCCACAACCCCTCATCCCCTATAAATAGGACCCTTGTAGACGTCATAATGCATCCCATATCACTTTTCCATTAAGCATTGCATTAGATCTCTAGCAAAATCATTTCCATATATCATTCAAACTTCTTCCTTGTAGAGAGGGAAATTCTGTCAAATAGTTCGGAGGAACTTGTAGTTTGAAGTGCTTCTACCACAAGTGGTATTCATTGTATCTTGAAAGACAAGTGTCGTAATCTGCAAGCACAGTTGCCGGGCAATATTGTCTTAAGTAACTAGTGGCATTTCATTTGCCTCGGATTACCATTTTCTTCTTCATTTCGTATTTTTTTGTGGTTTTATATTATAAAGTTCTTCCTTCATATAGTTGTGTTTAATTACGTTCCTACGGATTAAACTTGTCATTTTGTTTGTTCATATCAAAACAACCCTATATCATATACTCCAACTACTATCATATACTCCAAATTTTATTGTTAAGTAATTTTATGGCTTGATGTTAATCCGGTTTTTCCCATGTTGGGACTCCGTAGAGGATCAAGCCAAAAAAACGTAAACTTTGCCCCAAATTAGTAACACTTTAGCATTTGTTTGCCCCATTAAATTATAATTCATTTTTTCTATCTTTGCTTATCAACCACATATTTTTCAATAAAATAGTATTACACGTAAATTCAAAACTTTTTTTTTTTTTTTCATTTTTAACTACACATTCTTCAAAAAATTATTATTCCAAAATCAAATTCTCTTTATAATGAGAGAATAATGGGGGCCAAACAGGTGCATGTTAACCAATAGTATGAAAATTAGTTCAATTCTATTGTTACCTTGATTTTTGGCCTGTGGCGTGGCCAACAGATCCCAATTCCACTCACGTTTTCACATGAAATATCTGCACACTTACATAAATCATTGAAGCATGTGACTTTCTATGGCGGTTGGGGAGGCGGCCACAAGCACTTCAACGATCAAGTTAGTTGACCTATGTATGTATATTTTGGTACAGAATGGATGGAAGATGTGAGCCACAAGGAGTGTACGAGCACTGGGGTGTATAGAAAGAAATAAGAGTGAGCAATAATACTATGAGTTTGTAAAATTGCATTACCTTCAAAGTGAACTAAGTTTGAGCATCTATAGTTGATGGAGTGACATGGTTACTGTTGGATGAAAGGACTTGTGGCCTCATCTTAACAGTCGAAGAGCCTCATCCAACAATAAACACCCTATAGCTTAGGTCTAACCTCTAAAAAATAAACTGGCATATTGACTCATAAGACACTTGTTGTAGAGATGTTACATCAGTTATCATAGAAGATATTGTACGGAGGATCTTCTAGGTGAGGTAAGAAAACATGATGTCTTCTTGTGTTTAAAGCCTCTTCGCTTCGAATTAGTATCTCAACAAGTCATATCACCCACCTCAGACTTGGAGAGTTTGACCTCTAATTCTATTTTACCTAGAGCAATCAAATCGCTAAAAAAATGAGCACTCAAGAACACACAAAATTTGTAGAGGTTCATCTTAATGTGAGATTACGTCCTCTCTGTCGTTGCAATTATTTACTACGATGAAAGAAGGCTTACAAGAGAAAATCGCACTCTTTTCTAACCTCTCTTTCTCTCTTTCATGATAATGATCAAAAAGCCCAAGGACGGCTCTCTATAAGATAAAATAAGGCAAATCCGAATTTCACAAGGACTAGCAAAGTAGCAATAATTAGGCTCCATAACTTAACATCAACAGCCTTCAAATGCTTTTAGTAATACTAATGACATTTTTACTTAATTTGGAAATGCAGAGAGAAGTGAACTATTTAGGAAGGCTTTCACATCCCAACTTCGTCAAGCTCCTTGGATACTGTTGGGAAGATAAAGAGCGTTTACTTGTATATGAGTTTATGCAGTGGGGAAGCCTGGCAAACCATCTATATAGTTCTATGGAAAGCCTGGCAAACTATCAACTTAGAAGTAAGAACTTGATCCAGAAATTGAGCGAAGCAAGTAATGAGAAACAGGATTTGCTAATGTTGATTTTTGGTTCGGATGTCTGTGCAGGAAGCCATTTATCGTGGGACATACGACTTAAAATAGCTATAGGTGCTGCTCGGGGCCTAGATTTTTTGCACACTTCAGATAACCAAGTCGTCTACAGAGACTTTAAGTCTTCCAGCATACTGCTTGATGGGGTATGATTCTGTAAATTAATTCCTTAATATCTGAAATTTTTCTTTTCAGTTCTTTGACTATTAATTATTGATTGGATGAATGATTTAGTTGTTTAAGTTGGAAACTTAGCTAAGACAGTTCTCTGTCCCAAAATCTTATGATACTTATAATATAGGTTGTTGTCCTCATATTCATTTGCGAAAGAGAACTTACAAAGAATTCCACTCTGAGCTTCATATTGAAGACGTGACCAAAAGTAATTGACAGACCAGATTATAAATCTTATATTGGTTGCGGGCTCTCCAGTTGTAAGATTTCCGTTTACTGAAATCTATTCTTGTCTTCATTACCCATTAACCAACATCCAAAACTAGAGATAGATGAGAGAGAGAGAGATATAATTTTTTGTAGCCAGTGATTCCAGGAAGCAGATCCGGCATGTTCAAGTATATGGTGCTGACATATAAGTAATTTAGAGTTGTGTATGGATAATAGAACTCCCCAGATTGAGGGCTGCGGGTATGGGAGTATGTGGCTCACAGATTACTGAATAATTTGCATTTCATTTGGATTATCCTGGCCAGTTGTTTCAAGATTTTCCTTTTATCTTTAATGGAACTCTGTGCTGGTTGAAGAAAATTAGTGGAATGTTACATAACCGTTTTTTGCTTATAGTTAACTCTCTAATGCTATTTTCATGTATTCCAGAATTACAATGCGAAAATAATGGACTTTTTCTTGGCAAGATCATGGCCTTCAGAGGAGAATTCATACTTAGAAACCCCATACGCTGCTCCTGAATATGTTGCAACAGGTGAGTGTCTATTTGATTGTTATACCTTTCAAAGCGTTCCTAACTCAGAACTGCTTTCATTCTTCTCAGTTCTGATCAATAGTGGATATGATTTTTTGTTGTACGCCGAATTTGATTTGATGAAAAATCCGGCTTTAAAGTGTATAGTTGTCCAAGTGAACTTGAGTTGAATTTAAAGTTTTGTTTGTCTAACTGGTTTTGGACTTAGCCACACCATTTTCATAGTGCAAAGGGGTCCAAAATTTTCTGTTGTAAGATGCAATATTTTGTACACGTATTAGAGGCGCTTCTCTTAAGTTGTGGAGACTAATTATTATCAAGCCTAACTAAGGACTAATTAAAAATTTGTATTATTGTAAGATTATATGAAGGAATAGGCGTCCTTATAAAATTCTATTTTGCTCTAATATATCTTATAAATATAGAGCAGTCCTTTGGCTTCAAGTATTATCATCAAATAAAGAGAGAAGTTAGAGGTGGTAGGATTAATATTTTCTTTTGTAAACCTTTTTTCATCATAGTGAATTATTGCAGTGGGGGAGAGGACGTAATCTTACATTGATGCCAACCTCTAAAAATCATGCGTGTTCATGATTGTTTATTTTCTTTCTTTAAATTGATTCCTGTTGGTGGGATATAATTAGTGTTTATAATTCTCAACAGCTTCTAGTTTGGCATTATGAACACTACAAAAATCAATATTTAGGTAATTTGAGGATCCCCAACAGTGTTGAGAGCAGTGTCGACAAAAAAACATTAAAAAAAATTTAAAAAAAGAAAGAAAAAAAGAAAGATTGTTTGAAAGGGTCTTCAAGAGCATAAAAAACATGAGTATGAACTAGTCACGAGATACCTGCATAACATACTGCTTGGCCTGGGCCTTAACAGCCTTAAAACTTAATAAATTATGGTTTGAATTCCTCGTGGGAAGGACTTCTACCTTCATGCTTCCAGGTTGTTAAACTAATTATATTTTGAAAAACAGGTCTTCTCGATGTAAAGAGTGATGTGTATGCCTTTGGCTTGGTGCTGCTTGAGATGTTGACAGGCTCACACGTGCTAAATATTGAAAGACCTAAAGGCGAGCAAAATTTGATTGATTATGCTAAACACCTCTCTCGGAAAAGGAAGCTAATGACCATTATGGATCCATCGATGGAAGGTGAATATTCTTCAAAGGCAGCATTACAGGCCGCTCGGCTCATTTTAAGATGCCTTGAACCATTACCCAATAAGCGGCCTTCAATGAAAAAAGTTGTGGAGGAGTTGGAACAAATTGCAGGCGAAACCTTTGGTTTCTAAAAGTAAGTCCATGCATCGAGTTTTTAACATATCAAATATTCCCTATTCCCGTGTACCTTGAATCTACTTGTAGTTGCTTATTTGGTATGTTCGGACCTGCTCTGGTTGCATTTTCAAATATTGTCCGGAAAGATTTGATCCTAATTGGCAGCTTTTTTGGAGTTTAGTAGTTCATTTTCTTCGAACCCTATATGCATATAATAAGTTTGGTTGAACCATTGGAAAGCTATTATACCTGCAGTTTTATCCATCAATCTTATATTCGATGGCACAGTCGTCTTTTCATAATGTTCTTAGCAAAAAAATAAAATAGAATTAGTGCTAAGGTACACGCATTTTATTGTTCATTTTAACTTCTTTAATAATGTCCAGTCCCCTTTAATCCTCTTCATGGGTGTCCTCTACCCTTCATTTATGTTAGAAGAAGTGTACTTGATTTATCGTTGTTGAGTTATACACATTAATTAATGATTATTAAATTGTTCTATTTCATGTTCATTTTTATTATAAGATTTGAGATTTTATACTTAAGCTGGATTATTGGTTCAGAGGAAGTATAGGCTAAATCCACGACAAACGACATTTGTTTAAAATCTCAACACCAAGTTTAATGATATTCAAAATGATTTGTTAATGGAGAGAGACACGATGAAGGACAACTTCAGTGTCCTCACTTTTCGAACTGCCTTAACTTGTTAATGGGATTTTGTCAATCCTTTCTGTGCCACATGTCAAAATGCCTTAACTTGAAATCCATATTTGCAACTGATTTTGATAATTTCAACTTATAATCCAAATGACAAAAACAGTTCCCTGTATTTTTTAGTAATAATGGATGAACTCTATGTTATCCAAATCGCCCAGTGGTCGATACTATGAATGAAAATCAACCAGGGTGTCAAATTGATCTAAATGAGTCGAGTCAGCCATTTCACATTTTGACAACCAACTCGACTTCTTCAACTTAAAACAAACTCGTAAAATCAAAAGTAGCTTAACAGACGTTTTGATTCACGAGTCAATGTTAGGTCATTGAGGGAAAGCAAGATAGAATAACTGAAACAACACAAAAATCAACTCCAATTTCATCTCAATTTCTCACCTATTGCAGAAACAAGACTCGTCTATTCATAGTTGAACCCACTTCCAGATATACAATCTACAATCCAACTTTTGTATGAATATGGCACTTGGAGATTTTTTTGCTCTCTTTCCCATGAAGGAAATAAGGGGAGGAAGATAGGGTGTTTCAACAATCAGAGTCGTTTTTATTCCCTTCAAAAATATTTATTTGCCTAATATCCACATGTGCCAGATGCAATCCCAACGGAGAACATGTAGTGATATAAACAAAACAATATCAACATCCAACTTCTATTGACCAGGATTTCCCAACAGTCGTTCCACCGCAGCATGAACATTGCCAGCAGAGGCAATTAGTGCCCTGATGTTTTCTTGAGTATCAATGAAACCCATTTCCTGTAACTGAGATAGTTGAGTGGCGTATAGTTCTTCAGGGGGCACTGCAATAAAACATGATGAAACATACGAAATGACACATTAGATAGAAGCCCGAGCGCACACATACACATGCACACGGATTGAGGGAGGAAGGAGAGAGCAGTAACCATTAGATCTGTTGGAAGCAGTCAAGCCACCAGTTCCAAGTCCACCAAACATGTTCATCAATATATCCAAGCTTAAATTGCCAGGTGCTCCTGCTATTATTCAGAACAGACAGACAATACGGGAGAAAACAAAGAAAAATTACAAGGAAAATTATCCAACTATTCTTTCAAATTTATATGCATGAAGTAGCATCTAGGGATTTTTGGAATGTACGGAGAACTAAGAAATTACGAGAAATTTGTGTATATAATTATATTTCAGCAAAAAACTTCAACATGACAGCCATTTATTATAAAACACTTCATAGACAGACTTAGTTCATCTATGTGTTCCCATAGACCATGCCACTTCAGAAACATCTGACTTCAGCAACAACTTATGGTTTGCCATTCACCTTCCTAGTGAAGGGCCAAGCAGGTTAACTAGTGGTTGTTTTGCCGGAGATTCAACAGGAAATAATACTGGAAAATTGATGTGATAGGTACTTCTCAACTTCAATTCAATAATTTATATTTATTTTTATGATATATATTTGTAGGAAAACATACATTACAAAATTCTATGATAGGTTAGTAATAATTTGGGAGCAGTTCCAGACAGCCAGTTCCAAAAGATGAATTCCTATAAATTTTCTAATTTTCATGCAGTACGTTTGCCAACAATTTAATTGTAAGAAGTATTTTTCAACATTATGACTTTCAAAACATGGTAGTAAAAGAATTTTATGTGGCAGATCTCATTCTAACTCTACACCCATTTTTCAGTTATTCATTTCATATGCCCTTAAAACTAAAAGACAAGGGGGCTAAAGTGCAAAGGACGATACAGTGTCTGTTCATCACAGATATTGATACCTGGCCAGGTATTATCCAATGAATAATCAAAACAGTCACCTTGAACTCAAAGAAACCAATTGCACAATATTGTTATTCCTTCTGTTGAAATCATATAATATATTCTACTTTTCCAGAAAACTATTTTTCAGGTACTGTTATCTCCAAGCAACAGAATTTGAAGATCGTGTTCTGAATAATTAATAATGTAAAAATGAGTCCAGATACAAGATTAGAAACAAATGCGATGAACCATAAATGTGCCAAAAAAAAATCTGAATAAAGTGGGAAATTAGAAAAAGAAAAAATTATTGGGAGGATTCTTCCTATTAAAAGAAGAAAGCGAGAGAGAAGTTCCAGAATGTTAAAAAAATGTACCTGTTCCACCATCATTTTGACCTGGTTCTCTGAAAATACAGAGCAATTAAGTCAGCTAAATAATATAAACAGGATGTGAACAACCGGATGTGAATATGTGATTACAGTACTAAGATTTATATTATGCGTTGTTCCACAAATATCAAATACTATGGCCAACTACTTGGACATGGAAGAAAAAACTCACCGAGATGTCTGCTGGCGACCAAGTTGAGACAAAAGAGCTTGCTGAAAAGTCAGGAGTCGCTAAGACAAGAAAAGGCAATAGAATTCACTGGATTAGTGAAAATGGGGAAAGTGATGATAAAGGAAATAAATATAATTAACATAGATCTTGGAATGTCCCTTTTTACACACACAGCCCCCAAAAATATTAAAATTAAAGAACAAAGGACATAATACAAAATGGAAAATAAAACCAAATAAGCAGACCCAATGTAAGCTTTTTATGTCCATATACCATTTATTGATTGAGGAGCGTGTATGCTGAAGTGAAGGATAGAATTTATTTCTATCTTTAAAAGGTAGTTATAAATTTATAATGACCAAATTCTACGAAGATTTCTTGGTCCTGCACCACAGAGGTAAAAAATAATTTTACAGTGATATTCAGCACTTCAATATTGGGTAGAGACGCCATTTTATAACAGCATCTGATAAATCCCACCCCCACCCCAAAAATAAAAAATAAAAAAATCCCAGCCTCAGCCCCTTATCTTTTGTGCCAGCTTCTTTTCTCTGGAAAATAAACACTTAACAATCCTCTAAATTTTTCAGGAAAAATATCCTTGTGATTTTCATATTTACCAAATTGACCAAGAAAGGATGTCCCATGTACAGGAAGTGTGTTGGGGAGTTGTTTACCTGCATCATCCCAGGAGAAAATAATTGACGAATAAATTCAGGATTTTGCATCATATCCCTAAACTGAGGATTGGAATTGAACATGTTCTGAAGCTCTGGATTGAATCCAATAATCTATAGACCAAATTGGGGGAGAGTAAGGACAGAAATTTTAAAGGGATGTAGAAAAAGAAAAGTATAAGGAAAGAAAAAGAATAAAAATGATCTTTTAGTCAAAAGAAAGTCAGTGGATACCTGATTAATGTACTGAGGATTGGATAAAAGACTCTGCATCATCTGGGATATGGCGGGATTTTGCATCAACTGACTCAGGGAATTGGGATCTGGCATAGAACCTAGCAATTGCGAAAAATCTGGGAAACCAAGTCCACCAGAGACACCAAGAGGCGGAGTCCTCACATCCCCACTAGGATTTGACTGGGCAGTTGAGTTCGTTTGCACACCTTCAGCTGCAAAATTTCAGTTCAAGAATGCCAATCAGTAACGATGCACTAATTACACTCATCAAACAACCGTAAATAACAAAGCAAGCAATATTAGCAGACAAATTACTGTCTCTAATCGGTTTCAATAGTTCGTGCCTGAATATAGTGCAATAACTAATAGCAAAAAGTCCTATATGGCAATATTTTATAAGCCTCTTAAGAAGTCTAGCGTATCCAATAAACCTACATACCGAGGCTCATCTTCCTTTGGCTCAGCGGTATGTATTTCCAAGGTGCTCATTTTTCCAATTATGAAGCATGGCTAAGTGATCCAATTCACATTGGGCCTAGTGCCCAGGTGGTTTGGCCAATAGCGGGTCAAGAAATTTTGAATTGTGATGAGGGCAGGATTTTTTTTATTTTATATTTAAATATATTATATATAATGTCAGTTTTACCCTTCCTTGAAAAGCTAAGATATACATCTATTACTTTATTTCCCCAAAATACCAAACCAAAGATATTGATATCTTGGCAGCATTCCAAGTAACTCCTCAACCTAGAGTTCCACATAAAGAAGCACGAGCTGCGGCAGATGCCGAATCTTCTATTGGTACATGGACAACTTTGTCGGCTTCAATAGTTTGTGCCTGAATGCAGTCAATAAATAATAGCATAAAATATGGCAATATTTTAACAGCCTCTTAAGAGGTCTAGAGTGTCCATTAAATCGACATACCAAGGCTTTCACAATTCTTAAACCCTTTCCTATCTAAGATGTATATTTAGTCTGAAATGGTCCAACTATGAACGTTACCACAGGTGAATTTTAGAGGATACTGATAATTTTCAACAAAAAAAAAAATAAATAAATACAGGAAAAATGGAGGAAACAGACAGCAAAACCATGTCAGGAGAAATAGAAGAAAAATAATATTTTATGACAATTTTGAGAGCACAGTAGTTGAAATCTCTAATGGATATAGGATCTTGCAGAGAAGAACAACTCTACCATCAATGTAAACTCTAAGATTTAGTGCAACCAGATACAAAACATGGACACCGGAACAGAAATAAAAGACAAACAGAATGAACATTTTATTAAAAAGGGGTCCAACTTTGATTTTCTAACACTGGAAAGGCAACAGGGAACTGTTAATTACTAGCTAAACAACCAAAATAAGAAACGGTTAGAGCAAAATAAAAGCTTACTGCCAGTAGATGCCCAGGGATTGGGAAGCGGGTTCGTATTTGGAGCAGGAGAATCGGTCAAAGTTTCAGAACCAGTGGTACTAGTATTAGTTACCTGTTCTCTGGCCACCCCCCCACCTTGAGCTCCCAAAAGAGCAGCAAATGGGTTTGACCCCAAATCAGTTCTAGTGCCACCTTCCAAAGTTGTAGCATTAAGGAATGGTTCTTGCACATTCTCATACAAGCGCCTGAGCATGTTAAAACCCTCTGGAGAAGATTCTATATTGCTCATTGCCCTGTCTGTATTTCGCATCATCTCACGCATGAGTTCAGGGTTTCGTGCAGCCTCCATTGTCTGACGAAGAGTTGCAGGATCATTAAGGACATGAGCAAGCTCCGGGTTGCGATCCATGATCTCACGCATCTGAGGATTGTTCATGATTAAGTTGCGGATGATTTCAGGATTATTCATTATATTCTGAACAAGAGGCATATTCAAGATATCTCTCATCATGTTGGGGTTTTGAGTCAACTGTGCCTGCACATGTTCCATATCTGGAAGTCCGGCTCCAAATAATCCAGCCCCACTTCCCAATCCATTCAAGTCGAGCCTGGGAAACAATGAAGCTCCAAAACCAGACCCTCCAAATGCTCCACCTTCATTGGAGCCAGCATCTGCTGTCACAGCGGGATTAGCATGTGGATTTCCAGCATTAGTTGCACCAGCACTGTTGGTAGAGGCATTTGTTGCAAAACCACGGACCAAGTGGACAGTGTGCTCAGCCTCCAGACCTGTACAAAACCAATAAAATGACTTAATCGTATGTACTTTCAACAGCTAGCGTAAATTTTTAAAATTGGTCTGACTTTTAATCACACGTGCATATAAAAGAAAAAAAACAGAAATAGATGATAAAAGGCAACCTAAGGTAGAAAAACCACAAATCTTATTCTAGCTACAAGCAGAGCACTAGTAATTTCTATTCCTCATATCTCAAGTCTACCAACTACTCTCTGACACCCTTATTTGCTAACAAGATTGCATTGCACATATAACATCTCTCGATCAATACTTTCACTTTATTATTCGTTTTTCAATATCATCAGATAACCCCGTAATAACCTAATCTCTTCCAAAAAAACAACCTATCAATACTTCCAACATGTTCAGGTCCAAAAATTACCCCCTGAAAATAAAGAATCCTATTAAATTGCTCAAAAACAACTGTAATAGATTGCGCAATTGTTACATACCATATCTCTGAAGCGTTTGATCATCCTTCAATATGCGACCTTTGTAGATGAGACGCTGCTGCTGCGGTGGAATTTCGCAGTTCTGAGCGAGAATTGACTTGAAGGACTCGACTGTGGAGTCCAAATTGACGTGCACCGAGAACTCCGAGCCGTTGGAGCATCGAACGTTCACCACGACTTCTCCTCCTTTGCTGCCGGCATTTTCATTTGAATCGCCTCCATCGTTGGCATCGCCGCCACCCATTCGACTCCAATTGAGAAATTCAATATAAAAAAACACCACAATAAAAGTAAATATTGATGGACTGACGGAGAAATCCCAAACCCTAACTTGTCGCCGTTCGATTTTCCTCTCGGGGTGGCTATACTATAAAAGAGAAATGAATATAGGAAGCAAGTTTTAAAATGAAATAACAAAACACAACCCTCCACAGGTACAGAATAATTTTTGTCAGAATACAGACTGAATACTAATAGTTGTGGAGCTCATACACATTTTTTATATAATATACGATCCACACATTTGTCTCTATTCTGTACACAACCTATAAAAATATAATCTGTACACCCAAATTTTTTCTAACAAATAAATATCAAAAATTTCAAGTGTACAGAATGTGTACAAATCTCACAAAATGAATGGGTCCTATATGAATATTTTATTGCCAAAAAATCTAATGTGAATATTCTGTACACTTAAATGTCTATGCGTGCAGAATAACTCAATAAATATTAGCCAAGAATCATTGACCTTGTAATCTATTATCCTTTGTTCAAAGTCCACCTAATGTGTTGGTGACATCACAATAGGATGACAATTTGACTCGCGTCTTAAGCGTCCCATCCTCTCCATATAGTTGTTTAGAAATATATATTCATAATTTATTTAAAAATACTTTGATCTAACCTTTTTATACATGAGCACAGTGACTACATTCTCTAATTATTCTAAAAAATAGAATAAAATATATATAATTGGAATAGTAAACAAGGCGGGGACTACTTCGATCCGTCCCATTATTATCCCTAGTAATAAAAAGAAGTGAGCAATTACAACTTGATATGAAAAGAAAAATTTGTATTATAAAGTCGAGCTCGAGCTAAGTAGGACTATCAAGTAGGTGAGTTATCAAGGCTAAAGAATTTGAGCATTTGGCTATGGTAGAATTCGTAGCTGTCCGCCAACTGACATTAGCTTAATTGTTGGAGTAATAAATTTATTTTTTCATAACAAGTCCAGAAAATTATATTTTGGTAGTTATATTTATCAAATTTTAATTAAAATTATCCTACTCAATTTCAATTTAGTTTACAGTGATAAATTATTTTACATCCACAATAACCTTCAAAAGAAAGCCGCCCTTGTACCTCAATCTTATTTGACTTCACGTTAATTTGTATCACACTCAGTACTTGCTTTTTGTTCTTACTAAAAAAGATAAGCCCCAACCTTAAGGGCCTCCATCGTCCCGTCTCTAGAGCTTTGTGAAGGAGGTAAATCGAGGGATGTGCTTCAACAGGCCAGAAAACACGAGCTGCATGTACACTGCGCCTACAAGGAGTTTAATTCCATATCTCAGAAATCGAACCCTCCACACTGCGACTGCCAACAAAGCGTGAGAGAACCTCACTCCTACCATTTGCACCAATGGGCTATGCCCCGAGGGGCGCTTTTTGTTCTTACTGGTTGGCATGGGAGGGATGTGTTTGGTTAATCGTGGACATTGTTGTCACCGCTGAGCTACTATTGTCTTTATCGAAATCCTTGATTAATTAGTATCCTAGCAATGCATGTAATCTTGATTGCTTCCATTACAATTGCAATGATTATTTTAGCACGGCCTTTCCTTTCAAGGAAGTAATCTCAATGATTATTTTAGCACGACCTTTCCTTTTCAGGGAAGTAGTCTCAATCGCACATATACATGCATTAGGAGAGGTCTAATCTCACCTTGTCACTATTTTGCCATAATAATCCTACTCTTGATTTTTTCTAAGGCGATTTAGTTCATCCTGCATGGATTTATTAAGTCTGTACTTGTTTCCATTTCTTAAAACTAGTTTAATTGTTTCCATTTCTTAAAACTCGTTTTTTCTCAAATTCATTTAAAACCATCATTCAATGAGATCGACAACTTTTTTATTAATTTTCAACTACGCATTTCATCAACTTTTATCAAAATTTACTAAAAATCTATTTTATCTAAATCATGAGCTAAATCTTCGTAATCTTAACCTTGTATCGTTGTTTTTAGCTCACTTCATAATAAAAAATTATAAGCTATTTGTATTATTATTGTTGTTGTTGTTGTTGCTGCTGCTGCTTCTACTACTACTACTACATTACACTACATGATTTTATTGTGCTTATAGAACCTAATTTTTCAAGAATATATATTTAATAAATTAAATGCTTTCAATGTTAATTTATAATATCCAATAGGTGTAAGAACATCAATTCATATATAATCCTCCACAGCTCCACTACTTGTATTAATAGTAAGTTGCGAATTCATTGAGCGTCTCTTCTATTCAATGGTAACTAGTACGAGAGTATATCATTCTTTACAATTTTGTGATACCAACTCAAATTGAACAATTTGAGCCTGTCCATACCAGTATGGATCGTATCTAGAGTTTTGTTTTAAACTTCCAATGATTGCCCTAGCAATATATGTTGATCTAAACATATCACATTGTAATAAATAAGAAGATATCGATACATTTTTTAGAAAAATTGAGACATTATATCTTCTTCTTTTTTTCTTTTCTTTTTTTATCTAGCTATGATTGAACGTGCCAAAGAGAAAATTGGGTCAAATAGTCTAGCAATCTTGTGATTTCAACTCAAATTGAACAGTTTGGCCATGTCTACACCACGAAAGGTCGAGTTTAGCCCTTGTTTGAACCACATTCTCCTAAAAATTCATTTTTCAAAACTCATTTTTAATCACATATATTTTAATAAAATAATATCACACAAATATAAAACTTTTTATTAATTTTTAATCACACACTTTCTATCAATCTACTATTCAAAATACATTCTTTTCCCCAAAATGGAAACAAGGGCTTAATTTATTGTCTCAAATTTTTAATCCTTTCAATTATTATCGCAATATATTTTTGACACTTGGGAACATATCTTTCCGAAGACCTTCACATCTTTCCATTTGCAACCCGATGAGAAGGGTTGGTAGAAATGAGTAAAGCCGATGTAGGCTAGAGCGCTAGTGTGAGCCCAAAAAAAGTACAAATGCCAACTATAATAACTTTAATTAATAGTAGTTTGAAAGCGAAATCACATGGGTACAAGATACTTCGTGTGACCGTTGTAAAAGTGATTACAATTGCCATGTTTATACTAGCCGTTGTATTTCAAATATATACAAAAACAAATCAACAAATACTCTAGCTTTCACTAGAAAAATACCCACTTCTGTAGATGCTCATTTGCATTACAGGGTTCTCTTGAGGAGTTCCCACCCCCACCCCCCCGAAATTTACTCAATCGGTGCTTCTGATTTGTTCTTCTATTAAAAACAAATTGAAAATGGTTTTATCTAACCAGAACACTTCTGCTCAGATTAAACCCACAAATGCACAAGGTAACTATTAGTTTTGTCTTTGTGGTTTCTGAGTTCAAAATGCAATTTCTAATATGGTATGGTTGGTTGTAGAGGCAGAAATGATGGGTGCAAGAAAATTCAGAATGGAGTCGATACCTTATAGAAAAGCTTTAAGTGTGCTGAATCAGAATTTAGTGGGAGCTAATCCATTTCCTTGTGTTGTTAACAAGAGAGTTTTATCAGAGTAAGTCTCATCTCTCCCATTTAAACATTTTTAGTGTATATTTTCGAATCTTGTTTAGTAAGAATTTGATGAATAATAACCATTTGAAACTCAGAGCAATTGGATTTATGATACGAACTGATGGCCCTTAACTTTTCATTTTCTTTAAAAAGTTCTTGCTTTTAAATTCTTGTCTTCAACTTTTGCTAATGTCCATTTCTTGATCTATAAAGGAAAAATGCCTCACAAATGGCACTCTCCCGGAGAACCTGTCCGGAGGTACCTGTTCTCTTTTCCAAGAAAAATAAATGTATTATTATCTACAAGGTGGAAGAGTTAATTGGTATTGTTCGGTCGATTTTCAACAGGACACGAAGAAACCAAAGACATCGGTCGAGGAATTCACGATATGGGAGGATATCCCTCTATCAGATGTAGAGGATCAATCTGTGTCCATGTCTTTGGAACAAACAGAAACTGAAATTACCAAAGAAGATCAAATGGTATATATTGGTTTCTGCTTTTTTTCGATAGGCTTATTCGAATATAACGGCGATGAAATTGATAATACAATGTGTAGGAGGAAGTTGAAATGAAGGACATATTTGAAGAGACCATTATGGATATTGACAGTTGTGATGCAAAAAATCCCTTCGCAGTTGTTGACTATGTTGAAGATCTATATGCCTACTACAGGAAAATGGAGGTAAGAACTCATATGAATGCATTTAGATTCAAAATCACATATTAATTTTTAGTTTTAGGTAAGGTTATATTGAACTAAACATTAACAAGAACATAAATTTTATCCATTTTCAAAATTTGATCTTTAATTGGACTAAATTCGAATTTTCAATTCGAATTTTCATCCTCGTTTTAACGATGAAAAGTTATTCATTCTGCAGGATTGTAGCTGCGTCTCGCCGGGCTATATGGCACAACAATTTGACATAAATGAGAGGATGAGGGCTATTCTAATTGACTGGCTTATTGAGGTATTATGCAATAGACAGTGTTCTTTATAATTTGTTGTGTTTAGCTGGACTAAAATCGAGTCATTATCAACAGGTACACCACAAATTCGACCTTAGGGACGAGACATTGTTTCTAACTGTAACCCTGATAGACAGATTTTTAGCAAAGCAAACTGTAGAGAGAAAGAAGCTGCAGCTTGTTGGTTTGGTTGCTATGCTCTTGGCTTCAAAATATGAGGAAGTTTTAGTTCCAATCGTCGATGATTTGATATTTATTTCAGACAAAGCTTACACAAGAAAAGAAGTCCTTCAAATGGAATGGTTGATGCTCCACACATTGCAGTTTACAATGTCTCTTCCGACTGCACACGTTTTTATTAGAAGATTTCTCAAGGCTTCTCAGTCCGATAAGAAGGTCGGTTGTACGAGTCCTAATGTATCATCACATAGTACTGTGTACCAAAAATGTCATTAATGTGTTCGTATTTCTGTCAGCTTGAGCTACTCTCTTTCTACTTGATTGAGCTTTGCTTGGTGGAGTATGAAATGCTCAAATATTCGCCTTCGTTTTTGGCTGCTGCTGCAATCTATACAGCTCAATGTACGCTTTTTGGCGTTGGACAATGGTGTAAGACATGCGAATGGCATACAAGCTATTCAGAAGATGAACTAATGTGAGTCATTCTTACCGTGTCGAAATGCATATATACTGATTAAACTGGAAAGATTTTTCAGGCTAACTGTTTTTAATAAAACCAGGGAATGTTCAAGATTGATCGTCGGGTTCCACCAGAAGGCAGCAACCGGGAAACTTACCGGGGTTTACAGAAAATACAACACTTCGAAGTTAGGATATTCAGCAAAATGTGAACCGGCACATTTTCTTGTACAAAGTGTTCCATAATAAGCAGAGGGAGGGAGGGAGGATGTACAGTTACTTGTACAGTAATTGTGCTGATTCTTGATTCGAAATTAGTGATTCAAATTTAAGGAATTAAAGCATATCGTGGCTTTTACTGTGCAAAAGCCATGGCCTTTAAAACATAGATTACGACATTTTTAATTGTACTTTACTTTCATTCGATGGCTAATAAAATTAAACAAGTTTTCCATAATCTATTATATTTTTTAGAGTAATACTAATCACAGTGAGAACTATCGGTAGTTACCCTACATTATATACATGTGACAGTTTGCTATTCGGTGTATGAGGCAATAAATGAGTTAAAGTATGCCATGTAGAACGATTATCTATAATCCTTACTATGAATATCATTATGTAGAACCCCAAATAATTCTAGACACCTTAGTGGCACAAGACATAAATATTGGATAAATAAAGTATACTTCAGATTTTTAATCTCATTTGAGACCCATTTTCGACATACGAAATATTCGATTTGGAAAATGATATCTAAATAAAAGTTGTAAACTCTTTGAGTTAGCTTTCCAACGCACTTTAAATTACCTCAATTGGATATCGGGAGAAAAAGTTATGATAGAAATACTGAAAGCTGCGCAGTGTCAACCGGACTACAACTGGTTGACCGAAACTGCCTGAAATGAAAATTCTCGTTTTTCTCTAGAATTTAAATATTTATTTTCATCAATTATTTTCACAAAGGGCCACCCACGTTTTTGACAATAAAAACCTCACAGAATTGAAGCATTTAACCTCAAACTTAAATGTCACCCATGTTTTCTCTCTTAAATGAAATTTGACCCTTCATTTGCTTTAATTTATGGAATATTTATCTATAAATAGAGACCTCATTTCACTCATTTTTTCTCACATTAAAAGCAAGAGTTTTTACATACTAAAGAAAGAGTTTCCAAGAGAGAAAAAGAGAGGGAGGAAAACTATTTTTCCTAGAAGTTTAAGAAGTGTTTTCAAGTATCAATTATCAACGGTTTTCAAACATTCAAGGAGTGCATTTCTTTCAACGTCCAAGTTTCATTAAAATTTTCAATCTAAATTTTCAAAGTTTCAAAAGCATCAATCAAGGTAGGTAGAGGTGCAATGTGTTTAATCGTGTTAAGTTATAAGTTTCGATTCATGTTAATGTTTGTAAGTCACATGATACTCTGGTACGGCATATTCCTCTATGTTAATGGTTGTATGTCAAATGGTACTCCGGTACGGCATACCCCTCTATGTTGAAGAAATGTTCGTATGTCAAATGGTGCCCTCGGGTACGGCATACCCCTTCATGTCAAATGGTGCCTTCGGGTACGGCATGTATGAAAAGTTATAAAATTCATGTGTTTGAAATGTATAGTTTGATCTCGAATGCACCTATGACACCTATTAAGTTTTTCAACTCACGGGTTTAATCCCATCTCTATATATTGAAGGAATTCTACCTTGAGCATCGATGGAGGAGAAGATGAAGAGTGATGCAACGAGCCCATGGAAATTTGGTGGATGCGTGATTTGGATTTATTTTTATGAAATATTTTTCAATGTTATTTTTTTAAAGTTTTGAATAACGCAGAATGCGAGAACAAGTTATATTTTTTTCAAATAAATTACATTTTGTTACTTTTAAAAATGATTCACTGTTTTTGTTTAAAGTATTTGAAGTATTGTTATTTAAATTATTATCGAAAAATGTAAGCTTCCGCTAAAACGTATATACTTGTTACTAAACCACGGGTTAAGCTAAGTAAAATAAGTAGCGTTCCGATCCACTAGGGGTCGGGGCGTTACACATTATTTATTTTTTTAATGGGTTGAAGCATATCCTTGGGGGGCTAATTGAATGCTTTCTGATGGCAAAACTATTTGGGAAGTTCTCTAACTAGTTCATTTTTTGCCTAAAGTAAATTTTGTCTCTCCCCAAAATTATAATAAGGGTAATTATATTAAACACAACATTTTTTTTTTTAAAATTGCACCACATTTTAATTACAAGAAAGATTTTCAATATTTGCTCATTTTTGCTATTGTATCTTCAACTTTTTTCTCTTTAGATTGTCATTCTTAACTTTTAATTAATTAACGTATTTCATCGCTAATCATGATTTTTATCTGAATATTCTACTAAAGTGCATTAAAAAAGGGTCAAATATTTTGTTTGACTTTTCTATTAGTTATTTATTTCAGTTACTTAAAAATACGATAGATAAATGTCCTTTTGGCCCTTATAACAAATATTTTGGATGAAACTCGTCTCTATAGACAAGATGTGAAAATTAATAGAGGGTAGATGATAAAAAAAATTTAAAAAAAGAAAAATTGAGAATGTAAGTATAAAAATAAGAAAAATTTAAAGATATTCATTGTAATTAAAATGTGGTGTAGTTAATAAAAACTGTGGTGTGAATATATTTACCCTTATAATAAATACAGTCATTTCAAAGCGTAAAATGACTATAGTGCCATGTTATTAAAATGTCATCTAGGTAATCGAAATAATGTTGACAAGAAAGTGAACTAAAAATTCTA